AAAGCAAGAGGACTAAAACAATCTTAATTTCAGCTCATTTTGACTCTTGGGAGAAGGCAGAGGCTCGGAAGACCCGACCACTGACTGGAATATGTATTCATATGCACCATCTTATGATCTCTGAAAGTTTTTACAAGATATGCATTTTTTCTGTCAAGAATAAATGACATTGTCACAGACTTCATGAGCAACACTATACATCGCATGCTCATTATTATTTATAAAAACGGAAATAATACAAGAGAAGCTCAAAGGAAAAGAAATTCAATTAAATACAAAAGGAAATATAGAAACGAAAGATGAAACAAAGAAAAATAAAGAATTACAAAAGGAAGAATAGAAGGAGATAGAAGGAGAAAGAAGGGGGAAATTGAACCAAAAAATATATTAGGAAAGAGAAAAGATAAAAAAAGGAAAAAAACAAAAATATACATACCGGTAAGGGAAGACATAAAGAGAATGCATGGGAAAATAAAGAAATACATAGACCAAGAGAGATAGAGAAACAAGAGAAAAACATTTTTGAATATATAAGGAAAGAAAGAGAAAAACAAAATAGATACATAAGGAGTAATAGAGAAAAGATGAAGGCAGTAAAAACAAAGAAATGCATAAGGGAACAAAATAAAAGAAAGAGAAAAAAAAAGAAATTCATATGAAAATATATAAGGAAAGAGAGATAGCGAAGCAAGATTAAAACATTAACAAATATATAAGGAAAGAAAGAAAGAGAACGAATCAAGGGCACAGGAATAAGTTAATATTTTTCTTCTGAGAAAGTAGAAATTTATTTATTTTGGGGTACAAAACAAACAGGTCGCTTCCTGATCACTTCCTGGCACAGTTGTGCTTTCACACTCACAGTAAGACCGATCTGACTTAGACCTGTCTAGCGTAGATCGGTCCAGGAAGTGTGTGAGAAAGGGGTCTAGTTTCCACCAACAAAAGGAAAATGCCGGACTACTAAAGTTGAAAAATAATAACAAGGGAAACGCTCTTGGGGGTCTCGCCTGCATTACGCAATTCAATATGATGAAAAATTGAGGTTGGGACATTATTCATAGGCAGGGTGGCCCATTAGTAGCCCCCCCCCCCCCCTCCTCCAATGAAATCCTCTGAATATAATCAGCATTTTGAAGTGAATATTGACCAATAGTCATTGGAAGAATTATTTACTATAATTTGTACCAAGATTAATAACTTTAATGGAATACGAAGGAATTTTTTTATTTATTAATCCTCACATACTGACCTAACATGACCTTTGACTTTGACTTTGTGACCTGGAGTTTGTGTCATAAGATTTGTGATACTTGATAACCCTTGTGTATATATACAAGTTTCATGGAATTTGAACAAACACTTTTGAAATAATGCTAAAAATTCAAAATCTTGATGTTGATGCCACAAGAGAGTCTAAGTTTGTTGACCTGAAATGACCTTTGACCTTTGACCTTAACTTAGTGACCTGAAATTCTACTCACATGATTGGGGATACTTGATAACTCTTTAGTGTAAGTTTCATTGAATAAGAACTTTTAATTTCCAAAGTATATTAAAAATTCAAAAACCTAACCTGAGGTTAAGTTTTCGATGATGATGCCACAACATAGTCTAAATCTGTTGACCTGAAATGACCTTTGACCTTAACTTAGTGACCTGAAATTCTACTCACATAATTGGGGATGCTTGATAACCCTTTAGTGTAAGTTTCATTGAATAAGAACTTTTAGTTTCCAAATTCATCAGGTTAAGTTTTCAATGTTGACGCCGTCGTTGTCGCCGTCACCGGAAAAGCAGCGCCTATGTCTCGCTTTTTGCTACGCAGGCAAGACAAAAATTAAAGATGTCATTTGTTTAGTGATTTAACCCTTATCTATCAGCCTAACCAGATTCAAACCAAACTGACCAATTACAAATAGTGATGTTGATTATCTCTTCAACACCTGATAAATCTTGAGATACATAAATCATAAATTCATTTTGATATGAAACTTTAGCTGAAATTCATGCAGAATTCGAAGTATAAATTAAAGGCTTAAAATGTGTCCCCAATCTGTCCGTATTAGTTTTACCTTGAAACACAAGTTTTTTGATGATTATATGACAAACCACAATAAAAACAGAGAAACAATGACTTCAGTATTGATCTTATTCAGGGCAAACGGTCCTGCAACTTCTAATAAAGGGAGAATCATTTGTCATATAGCCCCAGTCAAATGTATACAGTCACATCAAATACGCTTAGAATCGTATACAAGGAGGCTTCCCTAGCATGTGGGTAGTGCACATAACATGCTGTTCAGACCTTGTTGTTGTTGTTGAGTTCAGCGTTATATAGCGATCAGTTAAATTCAACTGTTATTTCCCACTATTTTTTAATTTTGGTATGACTTAAATCTTTTAAAATTAATTCACCTCTCTCTTTTATCAATGTTTTGTTTGTGTCCCTCTATTTTTTTCAGAGTTTTTATTAATTTTATTATTATTACGATATCATGCCAGGTTACCAAATGCTGTCCTTTTTTATTTGGCACCATCCTGACAAACCCACTTGTATGATACGAGGATTTCTCTGAAGTTTTTTAAAGAAAACAAAAACCTATATTCCTCAGGTGTGGAACAGAGTGATTCCCTATGAGATACCTTTATCTGATGATCAAGGAAAAGAACTTAGGTGTGAACTGAAATTGGTTGCACTGTCGTGCAGATAGTTATCAAAAATGATGATACCGGTAAGCACAAAATATGGGCTTTTGGTGAAAAATGGTGCAGTTAATCAAAGATGAAACAAATAAGAACTTATACATAATTAATGAGTCACTTAACCATGTGATGCCCTTATACTATAGACCTGTATGTATTTTATATAGATTTTACTAGCTGGTAAAATCCATGTTCAGACTTTAGGAATGTGGCAGGGGTCAATCCCTTGACCCCAATGGACATGACATTTGTCATACAGAGTACATGAGCAAGATATGCATGCCTGTATTGCAAGGCAATAATCAAGTCAGAGTCACAATTCGGGGGGGGGGGGCACCTCAAAACTGCTAACAAAACACTGGTATGGAAATTTGAATTCAACTGCATGGTTTTCCATCTTTTCCAAACAACAAATGAGTTTTAAAGGAACACTTACATGGAATTAAAATAAATTAGTGATGGAATTTGAAATTACATATGAGTCTAATCCTTATCGATGTTGTTCAAACACCTATCAGGTGTCACATTTATACTATAATAGATAGTATACTGAGGTAATGTTATTAACACCCTGGTGTATATTTTTGCAAAAAAAGTAGAAAATCATATATGACAAAGTCCTAGCTGGCACCAGTGGTGTAGGCCTGGTGGCCTACCGCTTCAGTCGAAACAGTATATAACAATAATTACAAGAAAATGTTACACAATGTCAGTGTTAACTATATTTTGAACTGTATATCCAACTGAAATACAAAAGCATGGAGGACAAATAATGTACAAACCTTTTTGGTGTTAACAAAGTATCTGGGAACAATTAATAATATATATTACATTATTTAGGTGGATCTTTTATTGTCATGATTAATCACAGTTATCTGGATGAAAAGTCAAAGAGATTACCGGTATTGTGATTATAACAACTGTTATTCTTGTCAACCCAAACTTGGCACCAATTTCAATACCAATATATCATTGAATCTGTCTTCAATGGCATACAGAGATTATATTAATTTTCTTTTAATCTATACATTGGATACAATTAACTAATATACATGTCATTGATAAAAGATTTGTTTGATCGAGACAGCCAAGGGCGGATGTAGCTTTTTGCTAAGGGGGGGGGGGGGGGGGGGGGGGGGGGTTTGACCTAATGACGATGCAGAGCACCATCCATGAGCCACAAACTTAACTTAACTTTAAACCCCATAACCCCCGCCTGCCCGTTATTTAGTCAGCAATTCTGAACCCATCATGTAAAAGATATTAACAGTCTTTTTAAATCATGCATAGAGATTGTGCAAATATGTTATTTACACAATTTACACTTCTATTCCATCTTTTGTCAGCAATGTGGTTTTCCAGGAATAATGAAAACAACAGAGCTAGATGAGAAAGATCAAGGAGTTATAGGATTTTACATAACTCCTTGGAAAGACTGTATGCAGGGAATCAAAAGACATACGGTATTGTAGGACAAAAGTTGAGAGAGAGAGAGAGAGAGAGAGGGGGGGGGGGGGGGGCAAGAGCTGGCTCATCACAAATTCCATTACATCCCAAGTGAACGTTAAAATTGGACAATTAAGTCTGTCCTTCAACGTTCCTTTCCCAAAAGTTTCTGTGCCTATATGCTGATCTCATTCAGACTTATTTCTGGAGTCTGAAAAGGACATTAATATTTGACTTGAATATATGTTTAAATTATAGCAGTTCCTCTCATAAACAAACTAGAATGAAATTAAAGTTATGCTTCTGATACTAGTCAGGAGACACTTAACGCAATAAATAATCGTCACTGGTGGTACTTTAAGTTAAAGGGGAAGTAGATCCATCCTGATATTAATTTGGTTTTAATAGAAGCAGAAAATGAGAGGAACAGGTCAGAGAAAGTTTGAGCGAATTCCGGTTACAATAAGAAAGTTATGAATGTTTGAAATTGCGATCAATCAATAATAAATTGGCAACAATCTGATGTATCAAAAAAAATAATAAACCTTCGTTCTCTTTGTTATTGATGACGGAATATATTTTTTTCCATCTATATTTGAAATATATTTGCAATAATTATATTATGGGTGCACGTATGATTGAAGTTTTCTTGAGGGAAAATAAAAATATCTCAATTTTTAGTACGGAGCAAATAGGAGAGGAGCTCACAAGACACATCACAGCGTTGCAAATATTTTTCCACTGATGACAACATAAAAAATTTCAAAACTTCTGTATCTTTAATCGGATATTGCTCAAACTTTCACTAATTTATTTCTCTTATTTGTCTGATTTCATTAAAACCAACTTAATATCAGGGTGGACTTCCCCTTTGAGTAACTTGTGATCTTCCACGGTTTCCACGGTTATAGTATTCACACTTAAAGGCTTTTATTAACACTGCTGCAGACTTAGTGAAAAGACCATTCATATATTCTTCTGTCAAAAGAACCAGCATATAAGAGACATTTAAAGGACTTAAAGAAAAGTAAAATGTACATTAGAAAGGGAAGAGATGCTAATGGAATAAATAAAAAATATCACACATACATGTACATCACAATTGTGGATGAACCGCTCACCTTTGATTCTTTTCCTTTCCTTGCAAGTGTTTCAAAAAAACATTGATGGCCACAGAATTCATATTGTAGACAAACTTTCTTCAAGGATGGCATGGAGCATATTATCTCTGCCACATCAAGTGACATAGTAGGTCCACAACTTCTGTCAATCCTGAGTGAAACCTGGATAAAATGACAAGGTGATTACTGATGGGATAAATCAATAATAAATAAATAAATGAGTATAAATGTTCACTTGGATGTTAGGCATACGTGTGTATAACTTTCTTGAGTGATTTCCATAGATAGCTGCTAGAACTACAGAGCGTAAGAAAGGAAAGGACATAAATAAGGGTACAGGCTGAAGAACTATTGCCATGACATTCCATATCAAATTCCTATTTCTGCGTCATTAGGAATATCTCATCTTAGTTTACTATGTACTAAACAGAGAATCCTTAAACTAAATAAAAGGAGAGTATAAGTCTAAAAAGTATTGTTTCAAAGGAGATTATTTAAGTTCACACCATCTGGTGCCTCATTTATAAATGTTAATAGGAATACGATCACTAAATTAAAAGAGTGGATACGGAGCAAAAATCTAGTCTCAAGAGTTGCAATATCGATTCCGGTAACCCCAATTATACACAGGGCCAAGAAAACCAAACAGATTCCTTTGTGCCCTGTTAAAAATTTATGAACCAAGAATTGGGACTTCATTTGGGCATGAGATACCTTTTCTGAAGGGATGACAGTGTGCAAACTATCGATGAAGTTTCCTTTCCAAAATGTTTAGCTCATCTAAAAGGTATAGATGCACTGTGTATATATTATATGCACCTGCAAGTACATACATGTAGCTTCACTGTAATTGTAAATTGCATGTTCTGAATCCTTTTTTTCAAATTCCTCTTCCACTGGCATCAGATTCATTTTGCACGCAGTGCTTGTTATTCCTAATTAGGTCCCTTTCTCTCTCTCCCAATTCCTTTCAGATTTCATATGCATATTCTTTACCATCCCATTGTATTCACTGAACTGATCGTCCATGCACAATTTTGACTGTTTTGAGTCCGTCTTTATACCTTTCTTTCAGCCTACCTATCTCCACTATCCTAGATGCTACAGACTTTTAACAAATTACTCTAGATAGTATACGAGTTGCTCTTCATCTTCTACTGATACAAATGGCCCTTCAAAATGCCATCTTCATACTCAAAATTTAATTCCTAAATCATTGACCCTTTCAAGAGTTGCTAAAATTCTTTAAATATTGACAGATGAAAAGAAAAATTACCATAACTTACTGTACATGAAGTCATATCAAGTCCTAAATGAAATTTCTACAGCATCTGCTCAGTGAATTTCAGGATATCAATGGTCATGTTTGATATGAAAGTTCTGAAAATGGATGTGTTTATCTTGCTATAGCTCCATCATGCCTGGCTTAATAAAGACCCTCTATTATATTTAGATACTTCAAGATATACCCTTTTCAACCCCCTACAAAATGCAACTTCAACTAACTGACCTACTTTGCGAGAAATTGCTCTCAAAAACCAGACTTTTCAGGAAAATTCCTAAATAACTTTAACATATTGTGCTCAATTTGCGAACTTTATACCTAGGTCTATTTAAACTTGGCAGACATATGTATCAACCTACTTGACAACTACCTGCCAAGTTCGGTAAAATTTCATGACGTCGATCATCACAAGGTAATTGTACAAAGATTGCTGAATTTGCTATGCATCACATTACAATGCATGACATGCTTGTAGTACATTAGCGTGGATGACAATGGGGTCAAAATGACTGCAATGAAGTACCCCTTCAAATGATACCATACACGGTATATGTTTACTGAGAAAATTTTGACTGAATCCAAATTGAAAGCATTTCACAATTCGGAGTACGCAGGGTTTCTGCCCAACTGTAACAAGTATCAGCTATGCATGACATCAATTTTCAAAGTGATTCTTCCCCTTTTCGATTTTTCTTTATCTTTAAATATTGAAAGTATGTTTTGGGTGGCCATGCAAACTCAGGGCATCCCATAGCCCGATTTTGAGAATCTGCAGAGTGGGACATCTTAGATGCCATTTCATATTCTGCATTATAATGTATCGCACTACATGCATCACATATTAGTATTAAGCATGTAAGTCCATATAGGCCAAAGTGTATGGAAACCATATGTGTGTTATGACGTGTTACTGGTATTTACATCTGCTCAAAGAAATAGAAATGCGGACATCAATGCATGCATATCGTTATACGATTGTAGAGAAAAGAGAAGAGAAAATTGTTTGGTATAAGGGGCCATGCAGAGAATAGGACATGTGCTAGTCAAGATGCACCCATCCATAATTATACTGTTGTACTGTAAGAAAACTGCAAAAGACATTAAAGTAAGAACTTGTACAAAAATGGATGAACTAATTTTGTTCATCAAACTGTGATTAAACTTACCACATGTGGTCCAATGAAAGCATAACCAGCTACAGTGTGTGCTGTCATGCCATCGGATATGGTCAGTGCAATTTCCTTTGATGAAACCCTGTCCTTCACCAAGACTGCTACATCTGGGTCCTGACTCTCAAAGGCTACATCAACAATGAAAGATAACTCTCTACCTACAGCTATGTCTAGCCTACTCACATCGGCATAATAACCAACAATGATAGGTAACTCTCTACCTACATGTACATCTATGTCTAAACCCTGAAGCATAGAGTTCAGAATGTAAGTTGCAATACTTTTGTTTTGTGACACAGTGAAGTACAGGAGATACCTAAACTCATTCTTCCTTGGCAGCACTACTTGCTCAATCAGCATGTTGAATGCATTACGATCTGATTCATACAGGGAAGCAAGATGGACTCCAGCCATGTACTCCTGAAACAGTTTGTGAGGAAAGAAGACTGGCAATTGCACATGAGCATCCCTCTTATGTATGTCAATGCTAGTGGTAATTCTGTCCTCCTGAGACAAAATCCCGACCTTACAGGCAGTTTCCTTGGATTCTGGGCAAATTTGGAAATCATCTTCACCGAAAATCAAGGTATTTTCTAGCAGACCATTGAGGGCCTGTTTAGCAATGGGTCCAAGGAGCTCATCAATTTTTTTCAAATAGGAAAGAAATGAGGGACTGCCTACTTTCTTCACCTTTTTCTGAGCATAATGTTCTTTCAGAAAGGCAATCATCTCTTTGAATATCTGAGAAAAAGATTTCAGTGATTTCATTACCTTTAGTTTTTGCTCGTCAAGTTCTTTCCACATAAGACACAACATGGCTACATATATAGGATAGTGGGCCATGTTTTCAGATATGACATCATTCTCACTGGTGAACTGGATAAGCTGATTTGCTTTATCATCATTCTTTGGAAAGTATTTGTAAATGTAAACTGACAAATTCTCTCTGTTGAAACCCTCAACACGAATGAATGTGTAGAGCTTCATTAGATCACCATCTGATCTAATCTCTACTGCTCTCCATGGGCGAGTGGTCACCAAGACTGGGCAAGAGGCAAGTTGATCTGAACAAAGAATCTCTACAAGTCCAATATCACCAGTCTCAGATGAGCTTCCACATGCCTCTGAGGAGGTAACACATGGCTGTGATGGCTGAAGCTGCATTTGATCAGTAGGCATGATTTTGAAACTGACTTCATCTAGCCCATCAAATGCAATGAATACCTTGTCAGGATTTGACCGGATATACTCAGTAATCTGAGAAACTGTTGCTGGATTGTTTTGGGGCAGATAAGACTTTGCAATCTCGCCAATAGAGTGCTGCTTAAATTCACGTAGAGGAACTATCAAGACCCACACAAAGTGACTGAAATGCCTCCCTTCAACCCAGTCCCAGGCAATCTTAGCACAAAATGTTGTTTTCCCAGCACCTGCCTCTCCCTGAACCATGATCCGCTTGGGGAACTCTCCATTGACTTTCAGATCAAGCATATTATTGTAATCTAGCACTCGCTTCTCTGTTCCATATTCTTCTAGTAAGACGAGATTAGTATACAAGTCTTTAAACTGGACAGTGGAGGCAGGATTGAGAGGATCAGATCTGATCTTACAGAGAGTTGACCTATACTTGAACTTGAAGTCATTTGCACACCGCTCGACCAGTTCAGGAGAAAGTGGTTTGGTCTGAGATTCAGCTGAAGGAGGTTTGGTCTGTGATTCGAGCAGTCTTGATGGCACTCCTAAAAATACAAATCCATATTCATATGATTACACGTAAACATAGTTTGATACATCGGAAATGATTAAAGACCTGAGGCTAATAGTATGACATAAGACTAAGTGCATGTAGTCAAAGACACAAAGTCCTACATGTTTGTCTGAATTAATATGACTTCATTCAATTTTAAGGGGATTTAGAATCTGACTAATTTGTGTATACATGTTCATGTACTTGTAGATGAATATCACTGGAATTATTTTTGCTAGGACATTTCCGCAATGCAGAGGTTCCGTGACAATCACACATCTTATTTTGAGAACAAAAAACAAACAAATATGATTGCATCTCCAGTATGCCTCTGCGTAAATTCAGTTAAAAGATCAGGGTTTGAATCAATCTTTGAATATTAAAATGAAAATAAAAAGCCTACAGGTATATATACATGTTGATTGATTGATCTTTACAACCTATGACCTTTGACCTGACAATCCAACATCGGATCACTTGTCTCCCTATGGTGACGCATACCACATGTAGTTTTTTTTAAAATAAATTTTCCAGCTACAATAGCATAAAGTAATTATTGATATGGTGATAATCACTTCATTTTGCTGACATTTGACCTTTTTAACCCAAAACGTAAAGGCCCGAATTCACAAAGGAGGTTTGCAGACAAACCTAGGTTTATGTGCGTCATATGACGTGTTTTGACGCGTTTCAAACTTAGTTTTGTACAAACCTTGGTTTGAAACGCGTCGTCATATGACGCACATAAACCTAGGTTTGTTGACAAACCTCCTTTGTGAATTTGAGCCAAACTGTTTGTCTCAATATTTATGCTACCAACACCAAATTTGAAATTCATGGCTCAAACCGTTCTAGAGACATTGCAATAATGGGGCTGAAACCTTAAAAATGTATTAAATTTGACCCTCATGGCCCTTGGCCTTTGAAACTTATCCCAAAATCTAATCACTCCATCTCCCTTTGGTGATGTATGATAACACAAATGTGAAGTTCATACCTCAAATGGTTCTTGACATATCATGAGGCTAAAACTTGTAATTTCTTCTATGACCCACTAACACCCAAATCTAATCAAGATTATCTGCCTATGGTGTTTCAACAAGTTTAAAGTTCATACCTCAAGTGTTTTTGAGATATCGCAATAGCAAAAAAGTAGGACGGATGGACAGACATCCATTACATATTTTCTCCGGCACCACGTTCGGTGGCTGGATGCATAATTACAGTTATCATAATGGGATGACGCAAAAAAATATAATTTGTTTGTAGAACAAAGAAAGTGACAGTGACAGCAAACATTGAATTCTGGTGTCACTAAAAGTACTTGAACTATATTGGTGTCCAGAATATATCTAGGATTAACAAAGTTAAATTAGGGAATTATAAAAACATGCATAGGGCCTGATAACATTTTACACTTCTGTAAATTGTGCAAATGTATAGAAACAGAGCACTCACTATCTCTATGGTAAAAACTTCAGTTTTATGCACAGTTTTCTATATGTCTTCTGGTGTAGCAAGAATTAGTATCTGTTTACCTGTGCTGTTGGGAGTTAGAGGTTCATTGAGTAATCTGTCCGATAAACCACCCAAGTCAATCTCTCGAAGCGCATCTGCCAAAAGCTGTCGTCTGTTTGAATGTAGAGGTTGCTGTTTGACATTCCATTTCATGAATACGTGCAAGAATGCATTGGTATAGTTATTCAACTGCTGAATCAGGATTGCATGTAGCTCAGCTAAGGGGATCTCTAGAGATATCCCTACAGCCTGGTAGTGAGATGGATCGATAGCCTTGGCCAGCTTCAGGAACTCTTTTTCGCTGACAGTACTGTAAAATGGATAATAAATCAATTGGGAACGATAGGATATTAGTTAGAGAGCAATAGCACCCTATTGGCCGAGAAGCTTTCACGTGACACTTAACAATTTGTATTATATGATCGAGCGTGCAATAAAACAGCCTGCGGATGTCAAAATACATTGACAGTGATATTAACATTTGAAACAGTTTGGCAACCTTGGTTTCACTGGGTCACAACATGGCACATATTCTTTTGTTTTGTGCTTGCCCAACACAGCAGTAGTCGCCATATTGTGTCCAACTCCAATCGGTTGGCCAAACTCTGTTTATAGATGGCTCTGGGCAAGGTAAGGATAATCATTCCAAAGAAAGCAGAGTCTGGCAGTATAATACAATAATGATGGTGATAATAATGATGGTGATAGTAATACAAAATAATATAAGAAGAAAAGGATTACTACTACTTTTTAGAATAATAATAATAAGGCCAAATAACAAAAATAATGTGTTTCTTTTCCGACTTTAAAAAAAAAGTAGGAGGCAGGGCATTACTTACTATTTACTATTTTGCCATTTTTTCCAAGATGGCTGTCATGCTAATTATAGCTGGCCAAGCCTATTTATTGTCAGATATTGTGCTTTGTGAGTATACTGATGCAATGTATGACAAAACAAATGATTTGTATCACTTTAGAAGCTTTTAAAACAAAATGGCATCTTTTTGTGTGTAACTTTATTTGTGTGGCTTGTGGGGGGGTTTGGGGGGCCGTTTTTTTTTCTGAATAGTAGGCCTAAATAGTTTTTTTAAAAGGAGGCGGCGGCCAAAAAGGAGGCGGCGGCCAAAAAGGAGGCGAGCGGGGACGAGAAACACTTCATTTTGGTTATTTGGCCTAATAATATAATAATGTTTAAATTATTATTATTACTAAATTAGATGATGATAATCATGATGATGATGATTATCATCATCGTCATCATCATTATTATTTTCTATATCAAGCATACCGTAATTAACGTTGTATAAACCGCCCTCGTGTATTAACCGCACCCCTCTTTTCGCCCTTTAAAAAAAAAAAAAAAAAAAAATTTTTGCCGTATTTTTTTGCCGACTTTTTTTGCCGGGTCCATGTTAAAAAAACCACGCGGGAAGGCCTTTCATTTAACTGCGAGGTGCAGCTGAATGTGTAATATCATTAATGTAAATTCAAAAAACAGAAGGGGGTCTAGGATAGGACCTTGTGGTACACCATATAATAGAAGAAATATTGGAGGAATTATTATTATAAACTACATATTAATATCTATCAGAAAGATTAATTTCAAACCAAGATGACAGACAAATTCGAGTGTTGTTTTAGTTTTTTTTTTTTTTTTTTTTGGTGTACCGTGTATAAACCGCACCCCCGACTTTGAATTTTTTTCGGCGGCAAAAAGGTGCGGTTTATACACCGTTAATTACGGTAGTCAATGTAATTGACTTACCTGTACTCTGAGTCATCAGGTCATCAGGTCGTGTTGGGTTGTGGAGTTAGCCATCCTTTTGTGAAAACATGCCCCTTTTATTTACAAAATGTTGGAGGCTATTATTTGTGAAATAAACCCCTCTCATCTACAAATGGTCTGGTCTAATTTGCCTAACACTATGTGAAAACCCTACAGCAAATCTACAAAAGATTGCATCCTGAACGTTCATCTTTAAATGATCTTTTGTTTCACGAAAGATCGTGTAACGCAACCACCAGACCGGATGATCCGATGAATCAAGGTAAGCCAGTATATGCATACCTTTCTGCAGTGTGAGGACCTGGATTGGTTTCTACATCACCAGATCTCATCAAGAGAAGCAGGAGCAGATAGAGAAGGCAGAATCCATCCATGGTGTAAGATGTCCTTCTCATTCAACAGAAGTTTAGTTCTCTGAAAAATGGTGATGACAAAGGCAACAATACCTGAAAACAATATTCAGAAATATCTACATTACATAAAACAGATGGTAAAAAGATCCTTGAGAGAGTTTGAATTCACTATATCTCATAACAGGCTTAGAATAGCGTAAGGTTTTGGACAGAAAACAATGATTTTGTGATTTTTTGTTTGTGTAATTGTCAATCAACGCGCCCGGGTGTCTTTCACCAGGCTTGGCGAAAAACTGTGGATGAGCACAGAGTATTGGCTTATGCCGAAAGGGTGGGTAGCGTCGCGTCGCGTTGACTAGAACGCTACCATTCGACCAAAGCCCCCCCCCCCCCCCGTTTTGCCGAAAGGGTGCGTTGACTAGTCTTCCACATCAGTCGTGTATAATAGAATTTAATAAAATAGAAATTTAAGTCGTTTAAATTCAAATAATAAAAATAGAAACAGATTAAAAATTAAATAAAAATAGTTTTTACATAGTCTTGAAGATCAGGCGTTTATAAGAATTAAATCAATTTATGAATTCAATAAATATTAAAAAATGTCAAATAAAAATAATATCCATTTCTTTCTATGTATAGAATTCATTTTTTTATGTAAACTAGTCATGCATAACAGTCTTTACAAATGAAAAAACAAATAAATAAACATAAATAAATAACAATCTAGTAAGTGGAACCAATGTAGTTTACCCCCTAAGCATAAATATTTGAGTATAAATGCATCGGATATGCATCCGCTAAAATTTAGTATTTTGGGCAAAGTTTTGTGGCCAGAATGTTTGCACAAGAGACCTTATGGTCGGCTTCCGTCTCTAAAGAGGGGAGCGGACCCTACCCAAATAACAGGCTAACAAACGAAAGAGACAGAAAATTTTGGTCTAGGTGAGACCAAGAATCACTTTAAAAGTATGTTGCTGGTACCTGCTGCCAGAGCTAAAGCTAGGGTAGGGCATAGGGAAGTACAGTGTATATCCATGGCTGTCAACTTTGGGGAACTGCTTGGAAGAATTTTGTTTTCTTCAGACGAACCACCAACGTACCATAGCGTATGCAAATTTGTTTTGCTCAAGAGGGGGGGGGGGGGGGGGGGGGGGAATTAAACCTGCAAAATTGCATAAGATTTCCTTAATTAAATTTGACCCTCATATGGCCCTTGGCCATGCAATTATGCATGTATCGAAGAGACAAAACCCTCCTCAACCTCTTGCATATTCAGCAATTTCGAGCGAATGGTGCTATATATCGTGCATATTCATATTTGCTGCGCTGTTACCTCACATGCGTATATACTGTCTCTTCACCATGTTGAATCGACGATACAACATCAATGAATCGTCGGGTTAGGACGAAGAATTACCCTTTTCCCATCGAAGACCTCTTGAATTATAATTTCAAGTGGTTGGAAAGATGCCCAGAGGAGTAAAAAAACATTGTAAGTCAAAATTGTAATTACTACCTCCTTACATTGCGAAAAAATGTGACCCAACCCGCTGTTTGAATCGTTTTCAGAAACGGGCTCTGGAGTCTGGAGCTCCGACGCCGGAGCTCCCTGGAGTTAGTGTAATGCTTGAGGTGTTGCCATACCTTATTCCTTATTAAATATCGAAATCACCTTTTACACAAAAGGGGGGAAATATCTGATCTTTACATTAAGTGCAAGAATTTGTTGAAACATTACACTATTTACAGTAGAAAAAGGAAGACAAAAATTAAAATAACATCAAACTTGAGGCAATGACAATGTGTACAGTATACATTGCACTGTCACACCTCGTGGCCTCATGAGATCACAATTTTTTGAGAAGGAAGATGGACCTTGTCCTTGGAAGAAAGATAGACCTGGAATCTCGACTGCAGATCTCTGCAATATATCCAGTACATCCAGTACATCCAGTAATATAGGGGGTAGAAAATGAGATAATTGCCATCAATACGCATTAGCATTGACCCCTGGCACTATATGCGTTGCATTGCTGGTGTGCGGACACCCACATCATACAACTCACATTTCATTTGTAATAAAGGAATGCAGTGCCAGTAGCCAGTTGGCCTACCTACGAGGATATTATTTGAAATAGACTAACCTTGTTTTAGTCTGATCAGGTTTGCAGAGGCAGCATGTCGTCGTCGATAGACTTCATTCTAAATCTACTGCAACTGAAGAAAGATCGGATCTTAAAATTGAGTAAGATCAATCACTGAATCGAACTCGGAAGCGAGATTACGCGACAGTGCAGCACGCGTGCGCGGGGTACACAGTGTAGACAGCAAAGACGTTTAAATACAGCCTTCTTATCCAGTCAGACCGCAGCCGGTGCGAAAACCCTCTATTTTATTCAGCACGTATGCAAGAATTTACGTGTCTTGCATACGTAATGAGTAGTGCAGACGGTCTTCCCGATCGGCAGTTTTTGCCTTTATAATTGTTCATTTCTCATGAAATGGGTCTTATTTCAAAGATAAGAAGTTGCACTCTCTATATACTTATATGACAATCATGTTTAATATATTTTGGAAACAGATATTTCGCCTTGAAAATGGGGTTTTTCGACGATAAATCTATCTAAAGAGTAGGGCTGATTTTCACATAGAAATCATTCTTGCGTCAAGAAGATGTTATAATCAGCATAAAGCATAAATATTTTTCTTTACAATGATATCAAAATTATTATATTTTACGCTGTACCAAAGTCAGGAACCAAGAAAAATCACGCGAATGTTCATGAATAATTAAAAAAAGTAGTCAACTTTGCCGATGTGAAAATAGAGCGTTCTGATTGGCCAAATACGTCAACTACGTCACATATGTTCCGCTTTGGTTTATTAACATTCTGAATACCAAATTTGAGTAAGCATTCCTTGTGGCGTGCGCCTGTAATGCACGTGCGCGCAAGCAATCATGACAACAACCTTAGGACCCTGGATCAATTACGTCACCTGCCTTTTAAATAATATTTTTCTACATTATTTCTTTTTTAATCATTTTTCTTAATTTTTTCGGCCAGTCGGTGGCGCGGCGGAGCTCCCTGGAGTTTACTAATCAGTTATGCATTGCCATTGCTCAAACGGCGAGCGTGCACGAGTATGAAATCACACAATTTCGTGCCATCATATAGAAAGAACAAATTGGTAATTTCCGGGTTTTTAGGGTCTTAATTACTATGATTATAAAGAGAACAAGATTTTGCGTCAATTAGGTTTTGACATTATTT